TGTCAAATTGGTCAAAAGTAATACTCACAAATAACTTGCATTGCACCTGTCTCTTATACACATCTATTCTTGTTCTTTACAGACGACCATGATGAAACTGAAAAGATAACAAAGTTAGAAGAAAAGCACAAAAATGCAATCCGTGCAATAAGAAAGATCAAATACTTTGTAGCTCGTCGCAAATTTAAGGAGGCACTGCGGCCTTACGACGTGAAAGATGTCATTGAGCAGTACTCCGCCGGTCACACGGACATGTTAGCCAGAATAAAAAGCTTGCAAGCAAAGTAAGTTTCACAGAAATGTTCCATAAATTTTTTTTATTGCTACATAAAATTCATTCTAAGTGAGGATTTTATAAAAAAAGAAATGCATGCAATTGTGCAATTCATTACATTCAGTCATCTGTAAAATTTAAATGAGGACATGCATCACAACCAAAGCCAGGGTGCAGACTATTGTATGTTTATATCATATATCATTTATCATATTTATTTCAAATTTACAAAAAAACAAACATACAAAAGTACAAGATAGCTCAGCAGTTCCTGGTAGGATTGCTCTATAGAGAACACTAACCATATATCTGGGAGTTCTCCTACCGGGGAGACATAAATATTGAACAGAAATATTAACATAATTATTTGCAGGGTACTAATATAACTATATACAAAAATGTTATTAAAATCATATTAAAATCGTTATTTTAATTAAAACTAGAATAAGATTAGTTTGAAGCACAGCTTGACCCTTTCAATAAAAAATGATAAACCTAATTGTCAGATCATCGAATATTAAAATTATCAATTACAAAGCACTTATAATACTATGTATAAAAATATTATTATTATTATTATTATTATTATTATTATTATTATTATTATTATTATTATTATTATTATTATATTTCATTCTTAATTATCACATATTCACATGAAACTTTTGCTTTAGCCTTACATTTGGATCAATTTAAAGATAAAGCTGCATACATGAGATCAGTGCCACATATTTTAAGAGGAACTTTAATGAATGAATATTTATTTGGAGATTTTCCTTTCTACTGTTGGTATTTATTTGCAAGTTGTTGATCTCTGTAATATGATGAGATGCGGAAATTGGCAGCTGGTCACATTCTTTTCAATAATGCTTTCAATTTGCTGCAATTTTTAAAATATTTACTGTGATTATATTTATTGGGACTTGAATTTTAATTCATTCATATGTGTCATTGATGTTATTGTTCAGGGCTGGATTAAAGAGCTGTGGGGCCTAGGACTGTAATTACAAGTGGGCCTAAATACTCTCTATATTAATCCAGCCCTGTTATTACTATATATGTTGTTCATTTTGAACATCATAAACATCATCATCATTACAATCTTCATCATTATCATCTTTATCCTCATCTCTGCCATTACCATCATAATTATTTATGTTATTTTCTTTATTCATTATGATAAAAATATTTTTAAAATTAAAAACCAATACAATTACAAGTTACTCCCACTAACAGTTTACTTCTGTTTCTTGTTTTTAAGCTTGGACCAAACACTAGGCAAACCAGTTCAAGAGCGAAGGAAAGGACGTCTCGGTTCCATTGATGTGTTTGACCCATCTATGAGCCTCAATACTAGAGTAACACGAGTGGAAAGAAAAATGAATTTAGTAGACAGAAAGCTGGATATGCTAATAGAGCTGTACAGGGATGACAATCAAAGACATGGCCGAAGATCAGATAGCAGTGTTGAAGGTGCTATTTGTGAAATGAGTGAGGAAGGAGCAGGGAGCATAGGTGGTGGGAATGGGGGCGGTGGAAACAAAAGTGGAGACGGAGGTGAGACTGTTAAAGATTTGATTGATATTGGATCGTCCCCAAAAGGATTCAAAAGACGGTGGAGAGGTGCGTATAATAAACCTAGTACGTTGGAAATCCAAGATGAGCCCTCAAGCACATCCTCCGTAGTCACTCCAGTGGAGTCAATAACCGCAACTGAACTACTCCAGCAACTGTCGACCTCCCAACCGCTGCTTTCACCACCACTACCCCCCACACCGCCTTACATGTTTAGCAGTGTGTTTAGTCCAACGCTGGAAGTAACCGCATCTGGCACCAAGGATGAACCTACGGAAGAGAGCCCACTGATTGACGTTCCACTTGTATCAGTTGCACCGTCCAAAGAAACTGACATGAGGCAAACAAAATCTGTGGACATAAATGCCCTTAGTGAAGATAGAGAAACAAGAATCTGAACTAAGGTTGACTAACCATAAACATTTTACCTTTAATTCTGTATTCAGTCATTTAAAGCAAAGTATAATCCTTGATAAATCGGAAACAAGTCACCAGTTTTGTGCCTCCAAAAGCAAAAATGTGAAACAATGCAATTTGGATGGATTCCCTCTTTCCCATAATTCACTGTGATAAACAATGTATCAAATATAATTAGGCATTGCTACTTTTATTCAGTGCTTGCAGTTTGTTAAATAAGATACATCATGCATGGTCATCATACTCTGTGGCTTCTTGTCATCTGGTTGTCAAAATCTTTCAGAGCTGTGGTCAGACGTGTGTAATACTGTTGACATTAGGAAGCTTTCGTTTGCACGACGCGGTAGGACGTAGAGCGTAATGTCAATAAGAAGTCATCCGCGCGTTGCAAAAAAACATTAACTGCTCTTCGTCGCATGGATTCTAGGACGCAATTTGATAAACCTACGTTGTGCAGAGAACGTAGGATGGGGACGCATGAATGAATCCATTCTAGCATCATGTCGTTGCGCAAATCGAAAACTCCCTAGTATAAACTTGCTGTGTACAAAGGCTTCATGGACAGTTAGCAGATTGCTGTGTCACAATGGTTGCACTGTACTATCATTACTAGTTCAAATACTGATTCAACTTCAAACTTATTTATTTCACAAAAACTTATACATACAGAGAGTGATGTTATTCTGTGATTGAACCAATGTGCTTAAAAGCAATTTAATTTTAAAGACAAATGCTGGATTGAACCTAATTTTTTAAAACTCAATAATACATGAAATATAATGTTTGTAATTACTGTACTGTAATACATTATCTAGATGATATGCACTGAATAATATTGGCTGAAATATTTGTACCAATTGAAGCATTTTTGTGAAGTACCAGAAGCATTTCTTCTCCACTACTGGGTAGTGGGCTGGGTACAGCATACTTTACCAGGCTTGTGCACAGGATATCACAGCCTTCAGTATTTTTTTTGTGTGTGTGAATTATACTTATACAGTAATTATATTTTATATTTCATTTACTTTTATATTGAATTTTTTGGTTAATTGTGGAAATAATGAACAATCAGCTGGTTATTTATTTTTAATTTGAGCACCTTAAATACTGCTTTCAGTGGATAAGTGTGCTGGATTTGTTTTCAGATTTTTCAGACATCATATTAAGCAACTTGTGTAATGTTTTGTATAAGGCACTGTTGAAAAAATAGTGACCCAATGAATCTATTTGTGCATGAAAGTGGCCTGTTTTTTAAATGTATTAATGGCTTCTAGTGATTTATTTTTCGAAACAGTGCCAAATATTACATTTTACGCTAATACCATTCAATCACATTTGTTATTTCAAACATCAAATTTACATTTAGCATGTATATTTCCTATAAACACTTTGATGTCTGCTATGGCCTTGGAAACTAAATATACAATTATTTAAAAAGTATAATAAATAAACTTGAACAAGTAGCTGTTGTGAATGGTATTGAATATCAGTTATGTTATTGTTTTTCTCCATACAGTATTATTATAGCATCATTATCGTTATTATCATAATTATTGTAGTATATTTTAATGGTATACAGGGTATAAATTTGATTATGCCAACACAGGCACTATTGCTTAAGGCCAACTCAGACAGCGTCGTACGACGCAGCCCGACGCGATTTGTTTTCGCAAAAACATTAAGTGCTCTTCGTCGCATGGATTCTAGGATGCAATTTGATAAATCTACGTTGTGCAGAGAACGTAGGATGGTGGCAGTCGCGTCCTAGAATATTAAACATGTTTAATATTTCTCACGACGGCTTAAGACTGTCCCCGACAATAAATCGGGTCGGGCTGCGTCGGCTGACGCTGTCTGAGTTGTCCTTTACACTTTAGATGTAGATGAATTTAAAATGTAATGATGTATAGTTACATATCATTTAACATATTTTAACTAGATTTTTAAATCCATTTTAATAAAAATCAATATTAAATTTACTTTATGCATTTATGGAAAATTGGTGAAACTAAAGATTCTTTATTGTATTATTAAACAATGTAGTGGTTGTTTAATGTGCAAAGATTTCATGAGATGAGGGTTGTAATTGGCTGTTTAATGAGAAGTTTATGGCATTGTATGAATATCCATCCAAGAAAATTGAAGATTGGATTTTTGTTTAAAAACATAAAATGGCAGGAACTGAGAAATTGATGGGGAATTTGTATATACTGAAAAAAATATTTGCTTCTGTACATTTGAAAAACAATGGTACAAAATAAATTGTTTTTAAATGAATTTTGTATTGTACACAAAGCATCAATAAAGTTGTAAATACTATATTTTAGCAAGCTAAGAAAATAATAAAAACTGCACAGGTTTTGGGTCTGGTTTATCTTTATTTATCATAAGTTGCAGACTCAAAAACAGCACACGTAAACATTAAGTATTTTCATTGTCTACCTCTAAAAAAAGCAAATATTAATTTTTAGTTTATGTTTCAAGAGAAGGGTATGTTATTGAAGCATGGATATGGGTATGAAAATTGTTATTTAGCATACTTTTGTTTTACCAAATAAGTTATTTATGAATTCTACTATTATATATATGGTATGTGAACATTTCAGTTTATAATTTAAGTAAAACAATTATTTTAATGTTTTGAGCAATTTTAAAAAAAATCACAATAAATGTATTATTAATTTTGTTCATTTTTGTTAAGTATAGGTATTATCATACTGTACATTCTTTAATTTTAGTCTTTCACTCATTTGAGTTTTGATTACTGTATAAGGCATAGTACTTAGATGTTTCTTAGTATAGAAAGAAGGAAGAGTAGTATTAGCTAATCTATTTTTTTTGTATTCCAGTTAAATATTATTTAGCTTAATTCCTTATACATAGTTTCTTCATCTGCAATATTGTTTTGTAATAGACCAGATTTTAACTTTTAATTTTATTTTATTCCATATTTTGTCAAATTAGTCAAAAGTAATACACACAAATAACTTGCATTGCACATGTTTTTGTTGATCATATTTTTGCACTAATTTTTTTTTTTTTTATTTCGTTTTTGAGTATTTATTTTGAGTAAGTAGAAATCATGGGTTTTGTTCATTTGCATTTGTATGCTGAAAACATTATTGTGGTATTTCGCTGTATGGCGCTGTATAAGGTGTAACATGTGAATCTATGCAGAATTTGAATTTCATGTGAATAAACGTTGTTTTGTTGAATTGTTTGTATTTTGTGGACCTTCTCTTCCTGGCAGGTACCCCTTGTACAACTCAGTTGCTACTAATGTATAGTAATAAATTTGAAAATATGTTTTAAAAACATATCAAATACAAAAAAAAAATGCTTCAAACATTATTCCAGAGAATAAAGTGAATGCTATTGAGATTTTGAGTCTTTTTGTTTTTAGTTTGTACCTGTACAAATGCAGAACATGACTTTTCCAGTATATCTAAAGCCCCTTTCAGATAAACGTTGCCGCAATATTGCAATAAGCATGCCGGTGTTATAACCAGTTTATACCCTCTCACACAGCGCCTTTGTTACCGCAATATTGCGGTAATCTTAAGCTTTTCTGTCTGAAAGGGTCCTGTAAAATGGCGTAATATTGACACCGCGCAATTGTTTTCAACTTTAACATTGTTTGTTTATGCATAAATGCACAAGCCATCTTGATGGTCGCAATATCGAGTAGACACTTTCTGACAGAGCAGGCCAGTAACCATTACCACAGTATTGCGGCAATATTACTAGGGTACGATGTGGCCTAAAGCCGACATGTTGGCGTATCGACCTTTCAGACAGAAACCCATGCCGATGTGCTACCGCAATAATGCGGTATTGCAGCTCTTTCTGAAAGGGGCTTAATTTTCAGTATTGTTGGGCTGTATGCTACTGTAACTTACAGATCAAGATGGTATGTGTCTAAATCTGGGGTTCCAAGTTGAAAGAATTTACTTCCGGGATGTCTGGTTAAATGAGCATCCTTAACACATCTAATTTTTTTTGCTGCATATGGCAATACATGTCGACACTGACTTCCGTGAGACAAGTGATAAGAAAGGGGTAAAAAAGTAATAAAAACATGCAACTATAATAAATTTGCAGAAGATGGGTTAGTTTCCGTGAGATTCTAGCTTTCTTGCGGGAGAGCGAGAGGTAATCCAAGAGACCCATGACTTACAGGAGTCGTGGGACCCCTGCTAAGTTATTCATACACACAAAATTAACTATAGTAGTTAATTGGCACACTGTAATATCATTGATTGAGTTTGTCATCTAAAGCTTTGCCTCCACCATCAAGTTTTATGTGACCAAAATAATGTGATATGCCCATATATAGGTACGATGACGTCATATCACATATTACCAAATTGTGTCAAAAAAGTTGAATGTATTGATATGAAAATTGAGATCTTTGCAAGACGATGCTAGTAGGCCCACTAGGCCCCTCGGTGGGCTTACTTGTTCATTATTATTTCAGTATTATTAGGTCACTTTCAGAACAGTGGCACACACCTTACAATCAAATAACAATTATACAAAGAACAAAAAAGATCAAAGATCAAATTTTAGTTCTTATCAAGGATATAGTTGAAAATAGACTGCAAATTAAATATTAGTAATAATAATGATAATAATATTAAAAATTTAAGACCTTCCACAAGAAAGTCGAAATATGAAAAAAGGAAATGGAAATTAAGGAAACCAGATACAACATTAGTCGTATTTAGGTGAACGTCACTCTATCTGTGGGGCCATTTATAAGGTGGTATACGGGACCTATTAATAGGTCCATGTTCAAATATAGCTTGCTGTAAAGAGCTAAAAATTATTATTTCTCTTTAATTCAAAATCAACCATAGCCTTGCTCATGGTAATAATTTATACAGTAACGTCGAGCCCCATCGTCAGCTCTGGGGTGGATGCAGGATTTGGCGTTAGGGGCGGGTGCGTGAGAGTCCACACGACCTCCGGCGCAACATGGTTGGGGCGAGAAGGTGCGAAAATTTTGATAATATGGACCTCTAGGTGCTCGGAAATTGCGCTCTCATACCTTAAAAATCGTACAGGTACTATCTTCATATCAACAATACGATAGAAAACTATTTCTTAATAAAATTTAGGGGTGCGATCGCACCGTTGCACCACCCTGCATCCGCCCCCAGATTTAGGTGCGTACGCTCGACACCGCCACACCCCCTTCTCAAATTGCAAATCGAAAAAGGTTTTTAGTCGAAAATGTACTGAATATAAAGATTGTTGTTTCTGTAATGAAGCTTAAAAGTGAATAAAAAATCTTTATATTTTAACCAATATGCCTACTCTATTGGAACCCCTACAACATCCTGCAATACAAAAGCTGCGTCCAACGGGCTCTTTCCCTTCATCCCGTCAGAAGATTTAGATGACCCCATACAAAATTTGGTACGATTATAATTTTTTTTTTCAAATTCTTGTCCGGTCACCAAGAACATCGCGACGATATAATTGTTAGGCCTATCAACTCATTCTTTCTAATGTCTAATGAAACATACTGGTGAACATCTTATTTTGTTTTAATTCGCTCTGATTTAATTACCATTGTGCACTCTGCTGATGATACTTGCAAATCGTTCAACTGTTTTAATTAAATAATTGTTTATTATACAATAATTGTTATCCATTAGTCGTAAAATTTGCTTTAGTAAAGCAAATTTTACGACCCATGGATAGTTTTTGAATATATAAATATTATTACACTTTATTAAGTTAATTAAATTGATTTAGATATAAAAATAGTAGAATGTATAAATATACAAAGATTTTAAGAACATTAACGGCATTCACTTCCGTGTTCCTGTGGCCATTTTTACCTAATATCCTGAACGTAGTCCACCTGTACGTATGTAGCAGAGCGTGAATTTGAAATTCCAGAGAACCGCGTGGCATGAATTGACGTGACGACGGGAATGATGGACAAGGTGTATTTGAGCACAAATAACACCATATTTTGTTTATGATTATTGACCCAGGGTATATTCGTGATGTACGTATCAACAAAACTACTAAGGTAGGCCTAAGTATTAAAAGAAAACGTGTAACTTGCAATGTTTTGAGGTTTTTAAGTTGCGTTACCCAATGCGGGTCAGTTTCCATGTAGACGTGCATGGTGTAAATTCACTCGGACGGACGCTGGGGTTTTTCGAAAAGAATTTTTAATGTGTTTTTAAGGTATGAATTTTTATCGTATATAGTTGTACGCTTCAGTGTAAAGTAAAATTGACAAAAGCATGTTGGAATAATACATTTTCATATGTTACAATACAGGGATGGTACTTGCTTCAGCGTTCTGGTGACCATTTTCACTTAAATATTCTGGACGCACCACCTGTGTAGACTTTGCCAAAAATGCCAAAAGAACCACGTAAACTAATGGTGGATATGGTCGATAGGATGCATTCTATTAGAAAATTCCATAATTTGCTGTATTATAGGGTATTTCTGTGATGCATATCAACAAACTACAAAGGTAAGTGTCACAATCAAATATTTGTAACTTGAAAGTTTATTTGAAATGCCCGTTACGCCAAACAATACGAGTTAGTTTCTTTGTAGTGTGTGTGTGTTGGTGGGGTCTAAATAAACTCGGGCTAAATTTGCAATTTCGACACGAATTGTTGTGATTATAGAGCACTGCTTTTCAATAATTTCTTTCGTAGGTAGCACTAGATAGAAAATTTACTAACTAATATGTGAGGGCCAGACCAGTGGTGTATCTGGGAGTCTTATGAGGAGATGAGGAGACAATTGGGAAGGGGTGCGGCCCGCGAAGGTTAATGGTGCTTGATGATTGGGTGAGGGGCCAAGCCCGTAGGCAGGATTTTTAAAGGGGATTCTAATTTTTCACAAAGGGCACTTAGATAGAAAATTTAATAACTAATATGTGAGGGCCAGACCAGTTGTGTATCTGGGAGTCTTATGAGGAGACAATTGGGAAGGGGAGCGTCCTGCGAAGGTTAATGGTGCTTGATGATTGGGTGAGGGGCCAAGCCCGTAGGCAGGATTTTTAAAGGGGATTTCACAAAGGGCACAAAGGGTCCTTACCCACCATGTCTAAAATGCTCCTGTCGGGGAGAGCCCCCCCCCCCTGTAGAGCCCACAAATGTAAAAATAACCACAAATGTAAAAAAAAATCGCCCACAAATGTAAAAATCTGTTTAACCATAAATGTAGTAACATTTCACCTACCCCCCATCGGTGAAGAAGCACAATTCGTAGAAAATTATGTATTTTCTACATATAAGTAGACTTTAAAATCGATTAATAAGCCTTTGAAACCCCTAAATTGTCAGGGGCTTCGCCCCCTGGACCAAAAGTTTCGAAACCTTTTAATCGAAGCTCGACCACGCTTACATTGCTTTCGTCAGGGAAATCTGAACCCTCCCGTCCGGCAAGTCCTGGTGCCACCCCTGGGCTATGGGCTTGGGATGCCAGTTTCGGATGGATTTTAAGTACTTGATTGTGATTTTTTGTTTCAAACATTTTTTTCAATGGGGGGGGGGGGTGTGAGATTATATTTTTGTTGTATTTGGTAGGGAACACATTCCCCATAGATATGCCAATTATAATATATGACACTTCTATATGCCCGAAAATTTGTTTAGATACAGACAGTTGATTACCCTTTATTGAAGTGTGTTTTTTTTATGACGGTTAGTCTCATAGACCTAGGCCTTTAATAAAGTACAAAGGCATCGTAATCTATAGAAACACCACACATCGCGATATTCTTATGGGAACTGAGAGACAAGCTTTGATGTCCCGAGATGAGTGTCCTCCTGTTGATTTTTCTTATTCTTAAATGAGGCATATTGTGGGAAAAATTTAAGTTGTAGGAAAAATTGAAATTTAATTATTGGTATTTTCAGATACTTGAGTAGGAGTAACATTCATTCTCGCGCATTGCAATGTTTCAAATCATGATTCCATAAGTTTGACCTTCAGATTGGGGTTTCACTCCCACGCTGCGCAAGAAAATTTATTCCAACCAGGAATAAAAATGGGTACCTGGTGCGGTTGCTTGCTCCTCCGCTGATTACCAGCAGCAACACTTAAAACATGTGGACCCAATGACTAGGGAAAAGAACTCGGCTTTATAAGCCTCAATTAAGAGGCGCATTATAAATGCCCATACCAGTGACAGTACCTGTATAATTTGTTTTACTTGGACTAATTTGTATTTCATATTTTTTAGTTACTTATTGCAGTATTAGATATTTGATATTAGTGATTTTCTTTAATAAGCTATCTTTGTAACTGGACTAAGCGACCAATATTTTTACATTGAGTGTTCAAAATAAGTAAAATGATAAATAAAAATCTATCAATCTTATCTATAAATCATACATTAACATGGTTGGTAAAGTACCTAAAATGATACTTCATCAAAGAAGGTACAATGAAAGCGTTATCACTGAGACATAAAGATAATAATTTATAAAATATATGATTTCTTGTACCTGAATTTAATAGGTCTTAATGTGAAAAGAAATAGCCTACAATTTTACCAATTTGTCACCTTTGGAATTTGGTTTAAAAAAAACAATTTTATCCACCAATAACACTTGTACTACATTTTTCTGATCTTATTTTTTACCTCTGTCTCTTTTTGGTCCTGATCTTTTTTTAAAATCTGTGTTTCGTCATGTCTTTCTCATATTTGCCTCGGATCCTATCTTTATTTCGATGTTTTCGTTGATTAGATTATTTTATAGTATGATTAGCTATCGGTTGATTCCCCATCAATTATAGTCGGGCGGTACTGAACAGGGACTAATTGATTTCCTGCACTCCACAACAGACAGCCTTAATCTACGAAAGCTTAAAGTGGCCAAGATTGGTACAAGACCAGATCGAAATTTGGTTTTGAATATAGGAAATGTGTATTAAGTATATATTAGTATTAATTATTATTGATAATTTAGATTATGTTGTTATCTCAAAATTTAAATTAAAAAATTATCATTCATTCATTAATGCTGCAGGTCCATTTATGAGTTGAGGTTCAGTTCATCCACTGATCTCTTTGATGTGCTTTCTTTTTATTTTCTTCTGCAGTGCCTACTGTTCTCTTTCCTTCCATTTTTCCTTCAATCACATTCTTAAATAATTCATTTTCTCTCAGTACATGACCAGTCTACCTCTTTCTTCTTTGCTCCATCATATTTAGTGCTTCTGTTTTTGTTCATTCTTCTCGATATCTCTACATTCATTATTCTGTCTTCCTACGTCACGCCAAGTATCTTTCTCCAGATCCACATTTCAAATGCTTGCATCTTTTTCATTTCTTCCTTTTTCAATATCGTAAGTTTCAGAAGCATATAAGACTAAGCATTTGATTCTTCTGTATTTTTTCAATTCTATGTTAATTTTTCCCATGAAGATTTACTTCTGTTTGGAAAATGCATCTTTCCCTAAAATAATTCTATACCAGTAGCGTATCTAGGGGAGGGCACGGGGGCGCACACCCCCCCCCCAAAAAAATACTCGCACCCCCCAAAAAGCAATCGCAGTCAAGTTGTTACAAATTGACTAAAATCACCATATTTTGCGAATTAGCGCCCCTCAACTGATCGTCAAGCGCCCCCCCCCGAATTAGCGCCCCTAAACTGATCGTCAAGCGCCCCCCCCCCTTAACTTCACCTTCGCGCACTGTGGTTTGTGACACGTGCTCTAATGGAAACCCACCATAAACTTCTATCAATAAAAGTCACCCGCTAACTCGACAGAAACGCAGTGGAATATTCGTTAGATTAATCAATTTTTCACCGTAAACGATAATGCAAAAATTAACATTTTTGGATTTATAATGGCTACTGCTCAAGGGGTGGAGTTATAAAACTTACTTAACAAAAAAAAAATCAACTTAAATTTGCCTTAAATATAGAAATCCCAGGCCATGTCTTTTAAAATACAAAAATTTGATATTGTATGGTTCAGTTTGGTTTCTATCTTTCTGCAGGCATTTATAAAGTTTTGTTTAATAAGTAGGTAGTAATACTAATAATAGTATGATGATGATGACGATGGTAATTATAATAATATATAATAATAAAAATTGTGCAAAGGCGTAAAGGATTGTGATTTGTTGACCATAATTATTATAGTAGTTAAAGCTTAGTATATTTGGGCCTGAGTATTAAAGTAGATCTCTCTGGTTACCGAAAATCCCTGATAAAATGTCATGAAAGTTGTTAGCTCTTCATTTTGATTATAATATGGTGATGTGATTATGATAAATTTTACTATACAAAAGTATAATTTCCGGCAGTCTGAGGTATTTCCTCAAATTTTCTCACCGCAGCCCCAATCACGGTGGGGCTGAGGTGGTTGTAAAATCACGGCTTCGAAGTATGTAAAGTACTTGCATCAAAAAGCATTGTTTTTAAGCTTTATTTTCTATGGTACATCACACATATCTATGGTTGCCGAAAATCTGTGATAAAAGGTCATGAGAAATTTGTTGGCGCAGTATATAATAATGATGAAAACTAAAAAGTGTCATTTCTGGCTATCTAGGTACTATTTCCTCAAATTTCGCACATCAACCCCAAACATGGTGGGTCTGAGGTGGGTGTTGACTCACGAAATGTCCCCACCCCACACACCTTTCAAAGCAGATCTGCGCCCCTTCCCTGGGTATGACATTCTACTCCATCGAGTCGGCACCTTACTAGTCTTAGTGACTGAGGGTAGGGTGCATGAATTTTGTTTTTAGGGTGTGATCTTGTTTTTCACATGATTATGAGTATTTTGGATAAAGAATGATCAGAGGAGGAAGCAGTAGATTCAAGGTTCCCATCCCACCCACCTAGATTTTTTAATGGACAAAAAGAAAATTTAAGTCTGAGAGTGTAATTTCGGGCCTTCTAGAGGTGCAGCCCCAACAATGGTGGGGCTGAGGTGGTGGGTATACCCCACCCCCCATCTGTAAAGGTCCCTTCTGGGGTCACCTCTCTTTCAAATTCCTAGATCCTCCACTATTGAGTTATTATAATTATTGTTTGGCAATTACTAATATTATTTATGATGCGTCTATAGCAATTTTCACTTTGTCTTCTAAAAACAGTCCTTAAACATTTAGAGTGCACTACCTCCCGGGGGCTTCGCTCACCTGTCCCCATAGGCCATTGACGTTCCCCCAGCCATAGGAAGGGGAACACCCCTAGAGCCTTCTGTATCTCCGTCTATTCCAATTTCTCTCAAACCTCCCATTAGCTTTTGCCAATCCACTCTTATCAAAAGCCGTCTTAACATCAAGAGCAATATTGGTCTCCCAGATCTATATTTCAACACCTTTATGGATACATTTTAAAAACATTTTATTTCGCCGGGGTTGTACATTTGTTGGTGTATTTTTATTCCTTTTTTTTTCTTTTGATCGGCTAATGGTTTGAATAGGCTTTCTGGAATAGGCATTTTAAAAACTAATAATTTACCATCAAAATGTACTAAAAACACAAAAGCTCG